GTCGGGTCTAAAAATGCACGTACAGTACAAAGACAGCAAGAAGCAGCAAAACAACAAAGCACAAAGTGCCTGGATTTACAAAAGGTGCAGTTCGTGACTAAAGTGGATACTCTGAAAGCAACAATGTTTCCAAGATGAATGTTGTTTGCAAGCCCTGGGCGCCGGAATGCATAATAATGTTAAATAATAAAGCAAGATAATGCAGACGTTACAAAGTTTGCTTATGAAGAATTTGACATGTAAGTGGATCAGACATTGACAAGATTATGTAAAACAGGTACGATTTATAAAATCGAATTGTAAGCAATATTTTACGTGGCATTTAGTACTTTTTATATCACGGAACTCACAATAACTAACTTTAAACTCGTTGATTGATGAAATCAAGACGATGTCGCGATCGTCCGATATCATAGCCCAAGTCGTTCGGGAATTTRCAATGAAATCCCTTTGCACGTGGGTTTTCTAAGATTTCCCCAGGTCATTTGGGATGCCGTGCGTAACGAGTCAATATCATCCCAAATGATTTGGGTAATCGCAGCATACACCAAGCTGTTTGGGACATTTGACTGATTGCCCAACTGTTTTGGAAAAAAATGACACTACGGATTTAAATGTAGTATCCGGAATTATATGTAGACTTGTTTTATCACATTTTTAATCAGATTGTTCATGTATCTGTTTGAAGGTGTTCTAGAGTATTGATTCGTCATCAAGTACATCATATCGAGGCTGGAATGATTTTATTCCCGATGTACAGCCTTTTTGCATATGGACGCTGTTATTGATAAAGGAAAACAACTTGTTAAAAAGCAAAAACATATAATTAGTACATGAGTGATAACATGCGATCACGCGACTAGAAACTGTGTGCATGAAAACGAAGCTAAAGTGTACATCGTCATGTTCAAGGTTATCAGCATTACCGAAGCTTTTAGACAGGTCCTTGCAAACCAATCCAGCTTTTCGGCATTGGCAATGTTGTTTTGGTACAGCCACATTTTATTAGGTGTATACATCGCCAGAAAATCTGAACCATTTGGGGCAGAGCTGATTATTTATGAGTTTTTGCCACGTCAACTGAAAAAATCATGTGACGGAATGGGTTTTTCTCTGTTGCTGGAGGTAGATTGGACATCACAAGCGAACACTTGAGTAGTTCTGTGGTGATGGTAAAGACGTGTTAGGTACTAAGTCAGACTCCCAAACTGGACATTGATCTTGATCTTGATAGTGAGCACTTTGATAGCTTCTAAAAGAGCTGATTGTGTTGGGGGAAAACTCTCAGATTGCACTTGCTTGTACTTGGGAAGCCGCCTCTGGACGTCCTTGACTTGAGTAAATTGCAAATGGGAAATTACTGGTTGTTGGCATTCTCTTCTAGCGTGCTACATAAGACTCTGGTAGCGAGATTTAGCCAATGAGTGGACATTGTGGATGGTACGGCTGAAGTGCAATCACTGAAGAAGGCAGATAGTTTGAAGGACTGCTCTGAAATAAGGGACCACCATACAGCCAAGCTGTTTGATGAATGAAGTGAATTTGATGAATTGAGACATATTTGATAGATATTATATACCATTATCTCCAAAGAGGGTCACATGCGCTCGAATACAAGGCCAACAACAAGCAATTTCCTATAGAATTACTGATTTCACGAACATCAATCGCAAAAGTTGTGATGAAGAAGCTATCGGATAATGTCAACACAAAGATGGAGCTTTCCTACTATCTTGCAAGGAGAACGCTCGAGCAAGAACAGTTGAATGGAAAACGTGTAGTTGTTGCGTCGTCTAACAAGTGCCAAGCTTTCCACCAGGATATGACTTATATTCTAAGTGAACAGGAAGAGGCAGACACCAAACTGATATTAGATGATGCAGCTTCTGTTGCAACTACCGTTCGAATCAACTCTCTCAAGACAATGACATGCTAGTTCTTGCATTGAGGCGGTATCTGCAGCTTTGTGATGACACAACCGTTGTTACCGGTGTTGGCTAAAGACGCAGAACTGTATCACTAAAGCCAATCTTTACAACTCTTGGAGAAGAATGAGCAGCGACTTTCCAATGATTCAATGTGATATCCGGGTTTTTACGGCAAAGGGAAAAACCATATGTTGGAAAGCATTCTACTGTACCAGAATACTGGAGATRTCTTGGCTGCTTTTACAGAGTTAGGAAGTAATGTTTACAGACCTCCAATTCGGACTGGACGGGATTTCAAGTCCGCGCAATTAGTTCCAGTCCGAGAGATATAGACCAATATAGACTGGACGGTTCTGGATTACTTCCTCTGGTATCCAGTTACTGCATGTGGTACAAATTACAAACAGGGATTGCCTGGATACCTCATGAATAATTAATGAGTATGAGAAGCAACACAAGCTGGCACTGAAAAATATGTCTCTAATCCGTATCTCCCGGAAAACACAATTTACCAAAACAAGATGTTCAACAAATCATTGCATTGCCAATGCCTGAAAGCTGTATTGGTTTGCACGAACCTGTCTAAATGCTCTGAATCAGGCGATACTCGCAACAATAATGCTGCTGACTCAAACATGACGATAAAGATGACGATTTACTCACCTACTCTGAAGATGAGGACGATGACGATATTAAATCATTGTATATTATTACATGTATGTTATTGATATTTTGAAAGGAAAAGGTGTTGGGTGCTAATCGTCCTTCATGGCAGCATGGGTGCTGAATTGCGAAAGACGCAGCTCGACGCACTCTCAAGTAGAAGTGCTATATTACAGACACATTTTACAGACACTTACACATAGGCGTGCTGCYGGCTAGGCGCTTCCTTTACATAGCAACGAACGACTGAACGCGGAGCACAGCAGATAGACATGGTTCGTTTTTACTGAGGGAGGAAAACCCGGAAAGACGTGGAAAAACCCTCAACGCAAGGGAGATAACGAAAGAAACTCAAATCACATATGGCGCCCCGACTGAGATTCGAACAGGGTCCACAGGGGTGACAGGCCAGCGCTCTCACCGCTCGGTCATCCATGCATCCCCATGAACATTGAACTTAGACATTTTTTTTGACAAATTCAGGCCTTTAGTGCACATGTACATATATAGTTATTTAAGATGAATTTAATTTATTTATTTTTATTACCAGAGCGCATTAGAGCAAAAACAGACAGCCACATTTTTTTTCAAAATGCCTGAGTATTTAAAACATCTTTGCACACTTTAGCCTCGTTTTTATGCAAACAGTTTCTAGTCATGTGCTCGTATGTTATCACTCGTGTACTATTTATTTGTTGTTGATCTTTTTAAAAAAAAGTTGTTTTCCTTTATCAATAACAGCGTCCATATGCAAAAAGGCTGTACATCAAGAATAAAATCATTCCAGACTCAATATGTTGTACTTGATGACGTATCAATATTCTAGAACACCTTCAAACAGATACATGAACAATCTGATTAAAAAAACGCAAAAATACAGCAATTAAATTGACTTATAACATTATAGCCTCGTTTTCATGGTATTAGTTTTTAGTCACGTGATCACCCCTTTATATGAAAAATTTGCTAATTAGATGTTTGTTAGTGATACAAGTTAGTTTTGACATGATTCATGATAATTAGCATGTTTTTTAAGCACAAAACGTTCAAAGCCCCGTTTTCATGCTAACGGTCAGATGGTCCGAATGAATATCCCCTAAAACAGCCATCCTAGCCGTTTTTATTGTTCCTTAGGTGTATCTTAACATATCTAGATAGGTGGCTTGCTTTCTTCATCAAAGTCCCACGGGACTAATTTTCACGACATTTGCTGCCTGACTAATTTTCCTCTGCTATGACGTCATAGACCACGTGATTATTCCTTAAACAACGAGAAGTGCTGCTAAATTAGCTAAATGTTTAAATATGAAGAAAATTGGATGAATAACTTTATATTTTATGGTGAAAACGTTCCTAAGGTCACAAAAATATAGTGAGGGTCAAACCCAAGCCTTAAAATAATTGAGAATGATTTTCTCTATGAGCTTAAAAACTTAAAATCCAATTCGTTTACTTACAGTGCCAATAAAAAAAAACAAAAAAAAATATGCCTGCCTAGCAATATTTCAGGAATACTTATTGTTCATTGACCAATCAGAAGCGAGATTAACCGTCAAATAAATAAACCTAGTTTATCACCAAAAAACAGCCTGTAAAAGCTCAATTTTGTTGTTTTATAGAATACTGTAAACACAAACTTTGTCCATTTATGTTTTTTCATCATGTTTTCTTGTTTGTCAGCTAAAGTCACTTTTCAAGTACACATTCTGAAATATTTCTAGGCAGCAACAGTTTTTCGATTTGCACTGTAAAAAAAAATTTCAATATTAATACTGTCACGATAATGAGCCACTCACTTTCATAGCAAATTCATGAACTCTGTCACCAACCCAAACAGGATGCGTGTGAGCATCAATGAGCCCTGAAATAATAAATGAAGGCAGTCAGTTATAGACTGATTCTACCAGTCTGTCAGGGCGCTCTTTTTTTTTGCTCCCGGACAGTCGCTAGTTTGAGCGACAAACCAAAATATCAAGGAGCRAATACTACGACTTATGGAATCAGTCTAGGTCAGTTATAGACCTCCAGCATTTTTGCCAGTTTTCAGAAAATAAAATGTGGTTCTCTTTTGCCAGCGAAAAGACAGGCATAGCTAACTATCAGGTAGAGCATTTCAAAAAAGCAGTATAGTTCAGCTGGGAACACCTTCACACACATGCTAAAGAATGTGTATAAGGTAAAAAGTGCTAGCAGTGACTTTCATACCTGCCAACTCTCTGTTAATCCGCAAGTCCCCAGATTTTGGGACTCATCTCTTGGTCTCTCTCATTAAATAGTTAAAAAATGAACGGATGATCTTTTGGTTTTATTTCTTTCAAATATCAAAAATACACAATACATATCAATCGATATCAATACACAGATGTAAATATTATAAGATCCTTAGATATCCTTAGGGCTAATGTATGCAGAATAATATTTTACAATACATTGTTGTGTCCTCTTCTGAAAAGAAGAGTTAGTACAAGCTATGCCTTTGCACCACAGTCCACAATGAACACTCTAAGCCATATGACGACGGCAAGTACAGCATCGAGATCTACAATCAGACTGATAGTTGCATCTGATAATCTGCCTTCCATTGTTGTATTTGATGGTTGACACGGAGGCTATGGTAACGTGCTGCAGATGATGTTGCCGGCAAGCTTTGAGGCTGAACTTGATGAGTTTTTCTGTTGGCTACCTTTTTACAATATTTTTGATAGTGTTAACTGTMAAGCTTGTCACCACATTTACTACCACAGAGGCAAACGAGTGCGTTCTCCCCAGCAGGTTGAATCTCATCTTTTGTGCTGTAGCATCTGTAAAGATCCTAGCCTGTTGTTGGAAAAAAGCGCTGTTGTCAAACGTTTTCAGTACAGCTGCTTTTCCAATGCCATAGATGCAAGAAGTGGTGTCATAGCCGAGAAGCGCATGAAGAAATAAGATCTTTTCACAGAGTTCAGGACCAAGTTGCTGCTTTACTTCTTGATGTTCGTCGTCTTATACTAGGCGTTGCATTACTTCTTGGCTATGGCTTGAAGAAAATATCACACCCAAGAAGGTGACCAGCTCGGTACAAAGTAGCACTAAAAGATCTGTTTCATCACCAACGAGGAGGGTTCTCCTGTGAAACTCACTGTGAGAGAGATTTTCCTGTCGGCGCAGCGTTTATGTGTGGTGTATTTGGTTGAGACATCATATCCATTAGCCTGATGATGGTTTTGCAATAAAACCAAAATATTGCTCTCGCGTAATCTCCTATTCTATTCGATGTTGAAGATCAACTAGAATGAATATACTCGGTATATCATTCATCCTATTCTAGCTAAAACTGTCAGCTTGTCCTGGATTTTTTCAAGGAAAGTTGGAAAAACTACGCAACGGCAAACGAGCTAAAGAAAAAACCCGACGAAGTTGTCGCCGCTACTCTACTCTCGATAATYGGAAAAGATTGTTTTAAAGTCTTCAAAAACCTGCCAATGTCAGATGATGAAAGACAAAAGCCGGATACAATACTAGAGAAGCTAACTGAGGAGTTTGAAGGTAAAAGAAACTTAATTTACGAACGGTATGTGTTCAATACCTGTACACAAAAACCTGACGAGAGATTTGATCGCTACCTGAGTCGACTGAGAGAAAAGATATCGACCTGCAAATATGCCACTCTAGAAAACGAGATGTTGAGAGAATTCACAACAGCGAAACACAACAGAGACTGCTAAGAGAAAAGGATCTCACCTTGGATAGAGCAATCAACATTTGTCGAAGCAGCGAAACAGCAACACAACATTCACAGAGAATGGAGCCGACACAACCTGTCAACTTTGTACAAAAGAAGAAGAGCGACACAAAGTATATCAAGAATTGCAAGTACTGTGGAAGTGACCACAAGAAAGGCAAATGCAGTGCATATGGAGAAACCTGTAGTAAATGTAAAAAGAAAAACCATCTTGCCAAAGTGTGCTTATCATCAGCAAATTCAAATGATTCATCACCACGACAACAAAAAGCAAAAGGTGAAACAAAGGATAAATCAAAGAGGAAAAATACAAAGAAGATACATCATCTGGAAGACAGTGATACCACTACCACTGAAGATAGTGAAGAGTTAGACAGTGATGAAAGCATATACAGTATACAAAACAAGAATGGAAAAAAGGAATTCTGTGCCAAAGTCATTGTGAAAGCTGACATCAGCAAGAATAAGTCACAACAAATCKTMTTTCAGCTGGATACAGGAGCTTCATGCAGTACAATCAGCTTGAAAGATTACAATAAGATRACGACAAAGACACTAGAGCCCTCACACACTACTCTCAAGATGTATGATCAGTCAACATTAAAGCCAATAGGACAAACAAAGCTATACTGTACAGTCAAGGGTATTACCAAAAAGGTACAATTTCAAGTCGTCAAGGATGCACCTATTTCCCTTCTCTCTGGTAAAGCCTGTCAAGCCCTACAACTTTTGAACTTCAGCGAGGACATTTTAMAGATTAACGAATCCTTGACTAAAGAGCAAGTCCTTACTGAATATGCAGATGTATTTACTGGKCTAGGAAAGCTACCAGGAGTTTATCACATCGAAACAGACCCAAATGTCAARCCAGTGCAAGGCAATCCAAGAAGAGTCGCACTACCCCTTGAGGAAGAATTAAAACAGAAAATTGGYGAACTAGAGCAAATGGAAGTTCTGGCCAAAGTGACAGAACCTACCCCTTGGATCAGTAACATGGTYGCAATTAAAACACCAAAGAAGCTAAGGGTATGCTTAGACCCTCAAGAGTTGAATAAGGCGGTAGTACGCAACCATTATCGAATGCCTACTATTGATGAAGTAGCTCCAAAACTAAACAACGCAAAGGTTTTTACTGTAGTAGATGCCAAAGATGGATTTCTACAAGTCACTCTAGATGACCCATCAAGCTATCTCACCACTTTCTGGACACCCTATGGTAGATACAGATGGTTAAGAATGCCATTTGGTTTAAAGTCAGCACCAGAAGAATTTCAGCGAAGAATTGACAAGTGTATTGAAGGTCTACATAATGTACACGCTGTGTATGATGACATCATCATCTATGGAGCCAATGACAGTGAGCATGATACAGCATTACAAGCTTTACTACAAAGATGCAGAGAATGTCAACTCAAGTTAAACAAGAACAAACTGAAATACAAACTTGACAAAGTAGGCTATCTAGGACACATTCTCACTGCTGAAGGAATCAAAGCTGACCCAGAGAAGATTCGAGCGGTAATTGACATGCCACAACCGTGCAATCTACAAGGTGTTCAACGTTTACTCGGAGTCGTAACCTACCTAGCCAAGTTCCTACCACAACTCAGTACAGTTGCGGAACCATTACGGCGTCTTACAGACAAACATGCAGCCTTCGACTGGCTACCACAGCACCAAGCAGCATTCACAAAGATCAAGACAATGATGACTGAAACACCAATACTGCAATACTACGATGTCAAGAAAGATGTAGTAATAGAATGCGACAGTTCAGATGTTGGACTTGGAGCCGTGATCACTCAGGATGGAAAGCCCATTGAATATGCGTCAAGAGCACTGACACAGACCGAACGTAATTACGCCCAGATAGAAAAGGAGTGTCTTGCAATTGTTTTTGCAACACGAAGATTTGAACATTACATACTGGGTAAAGACAATGTCAAAGTCTACACTGACCACAAACCACTGGTAACAATCTTTANTCAATCTAGTACAAATCAGTTTAGGGTTAGGTTTTGGGTTAGGTTTAGGGTTGGGTATTGGGTTGAGCCAGCATTATATAAAAATTTTCTTCATTAATAAATTACAATTAAGATAAAAACAATTTGCAAGCATTACTACCAACAAAATCCTTGATGGTATAAAAATAATTGGTAGTACTGTGGACTATGAAGCAAGAGTTCAGTGGTTCAAACCCTGATGAAGGTAAGTGTTATTCATAAATTAAAAATATAGAAAATATCAATATTTCTGTGGGGTATAGGGTAAGATAAAGTAGGATATAGTAGAAAATAGAGTGGTTTTCATTAACCCATGAAACACACTTTAGCATATTTATCGCTATTACACTTTGGCTCTTTTGTTTTTTATTGTACTCTACGCGACTATTATGATGTATTACACTCTAATTATTACACTTTGTTTCACGGGTTAATGAAAACCACTCTAAGATGATAGATAGAAAATGGGAGAGAATTAGATGGGATATAGTTCTTTTAGTTCTTTTAAGAATGCCAAAGCAAAATAAAATAGACCAGTACAAGAAGTCTTGTACTGGAACAAATTAGATTAAACTGGTTCAAAAATATATTGAGCCTGAACTACAACATATGCATTTAATTGCAATAGCTATACCAAGCATGCATGATTCTGATGTGATTTTCAACGTATCTCATCAAACTTGATTCCCTTTTCTTGCGCCTCTGTTCATCGAAATGTCAAAACTTCTTATAAACTACCTTAAGATTGTCTGTGTTGAAAATATAAACACACTCTCTCTTATATATTGGAGTAACCACATGCGCTCTTTGAGCGCCTTTTTTACATAAGTTAACTAGACGCTAACGTAGCGTGAAGTCGGGCTATAGCAAGGGTGATATCATAATATTGTACATCGTGATGAAATGATAATTTTTTACACTGCAAAAAATTGAGACTTCACGCTGTAAAAGCGTGTAGCTCATTCAAAATATGCAAATTTCGTGTGATTTAAAAAGGTCATATAAACAACAATTTATGTTTTAACAATTTTTGATGCAATGTTTAAAGGAAAGAACCCTATTAACCAGCTTATACTATTTAGGGGAATCTCCAAAGGCAACTCTTTCAAAAAAATTCAAAATAAATGCTTTAAATGCTCTTAAAACTCATATCCTATCATTACTAATGCAACTAAAGACGACATGGCGCAATGCATTTGATTATCAGATATCTTGGTGTAAAGTTTCAGGTTTTTAATTAAAAAATGACCTCTGAGGTCAAGAAGCATATAGTTTACAAAACAAGAAATACTTCGTACAATTTTGCGAACACTCGACGTATACACAGCCTTTCCCTCATACTTCGATTGACCATGTGATAGAAACAGAAAAGCATCTATAAAATGTGACTTTTGTGTCACATGATATATTTATGACRTCATTGATTGTAATTGGGGTGCCTGTGGAATTGCTCATAAAGCATCATGGGGGACTATACGCGACGTTGCCAGATAGATCCGAAAGGTAAAACTATAGTCGTACTAGCCTCTAGCCCGACTAATAGATGAGGTGACGGTTTTGTCCGCCATTTTGGACCGGTAGGCATAGTGTCGCAAAATAACAAGGAATGACCGGGAAATAAATGTCAAATAATTCTCGCTGAATTCAAATTCAGAAAGAATTATCAATTGCAAACGTTAGATACTTCAAAAAGGAGCTGACTGGCCAAATTTGAAGGATGTGCTTTGTCTAGGGAGCGAGAAAATTTATTTTTAGTTCTCAATACATTTCTTTGTATTTTTCACGCGCGTCACGCACTGATGACCCCGGAAATGATAACGAAATGTATTGAAATTACAAAGAAATGTATGGAGAACTAAAAATGAGTTTACTCGCTCTCTAGATCAAGTACGCCTTTCAAATTTGGCCAGTTAACTCCTCTTTGCAGTATCTAACGTTTGCAAATGATAATTCTTTCTGAATTTGAATTCAGCGAGAATTATTTGACATCGATTTCCCGGTCATTCCTTGTTATTTTGCGACACTATGCCTACCGGTCCAAAATGGCGGACAAAACCGTCACCTCATCTATTAGCATGTTTGCTACTCCATAGAACTCCAGATTTAAGCAATACCCTGTTTTCTACTATTTTTTAGTCATTATTACTGCAAGCCCACTGGATTTCTTATTTTTCTGAAAACAAGTCAGCACTACCTTTATTTTAAAATGACATTAAATGTGAGCGCATGGTGTTTAAGAGGGTACAACAACTAATCATTAGGGTGGGGTGGTACAACACTGCGATCCGCAAATGCAACATTAGCCAATTAAACTATACCTGGAAGAACACATTTGCCAGTAGCGTCAATCTCCGTGTCAAACGTTTGACCACGATATTTGATATCTACCTTCCTGTCATGGTCAATACACTCTATCTTGCCATCGTTTGCAACAACGGACACTCCAGCTTCTTCCTCGCTGTCCAACACTGCGACAGTTTTCATGGCTTCGCCTTTCAAAACACGCTCAYCATTTTTGCAAACAAGAACAACTTGCTTTGCATGTCTAATAATCAGCCTGGTCATCGCCAATAAGATTAAAAAAACAATTGTATAGAAAATAAAAAGACAAAAACAACTTTATCCAAAGCCACGTGGATGGAAGACTGGGTTTGATGGAAACGCGCCCGCGAGACTATGAGCATGCGTTTAGGTGGAAAGTCGATGTTGCTATAGGAACAGAACTTCATATTCGAGGGAAATAAAACATGGAGACCATTTTGAAGGATCTTTGAGAGCTTTCTCCCGAATTTCACGATTTATGTAAAATATCAAGTTTGTATTTTCTAGGTTATTGTCAGAATTGTTTCAGCGTCTAAAAGGTTTGTCAACGTATTGATAAGAAGCAAGAACTGTACCTGTTCACCTAATATTTAGCTATTAACTACCTACGATGTCTCGCTCTCCTTCGAAGACTTCAACTAGACCAACAAAATCCCGTAAGTTATAAGTTACAACTGAACATTATTACTTCATTTGAAGGACAAATCTTTACTGATGTACTATTAGAAATGTACACATACCAACAAAAGTTTTTCAAAGTAAAAAAACAACAACAACTTTTTTAACTTATAATTATGTTTCAGGTGATAGTGAGGATCCTAAATCAATTTCTGATCGACCACGGGTCAAGTCTAGTAAATCATTGTCAGCATTCTCAAGTGAGTTGTTCCACATCATCCATGAGATAAAAAATGACGCCTGGACAAAATTGCTATAAAAACGTTCTATCAAATCCTCCCCTCCTTTCACCAAAAAAKGTTGTGTGTGTGACGTGATGCTAGAAGGGTGTGCATGATTGTTCAGTCCTTTCAACATTGATTTGAGGGGGGAAGGGGGAGATTTGCACAGAAATACGCAGATAGATCATCGAAAGTCAACCTATTTAAAGAAATGTCTCAACTGTTTTGTCCAGGATTGTAGGTTAAATGTGTATTTAAGACCTGATGTCCCATACAAAAAGTTCTGTCATGCTGAATGCTACAGATCTACTACATGTGCCTAATACTCGGCAATTATAGTTATTTTAATAGATGTTTTACAATTGTTGCCAAAATTGTTGGGATGTTAAGACATTTCTTAGTATTTCATAAATTTCACAAACAAATCTCTGACTTCTTAACCTGGGTGTCCCTCTATTAGAGTGTTGCTTGATGCTTGTGAGGGGGACCAGAGCATTTTTTAAATGGTTTGAAGGCGAGGGACCTATATTTAAGTTGTCATCATATAATAATCTTGGCAACAGTTGCATGCTTGATTCAAGTCCAATGTACTCATACATGTAATATGTAGTCAAATAAACAAACTCAGGCATAAAATCAGTCAAACACCAGTAGAGAACACCGTTAAAGAACATTGCTGTGATTAATCCAACTAATCTATTGTGTTGTTTGATTCTGATTGGCAAGTATACCAATCAGTGTGCTGTGAATTCTCGGTTTGCACATGACATCATTAGTCGAAAAAAATTCTAAAATCGCAGACACACAACATTACAGTACTAAAATACCTTGAAKAGCATGATAGAAGTTCTCTCTGAAAGTTTAAACTTTTTTGCTGTTTATTCCTTGAGTTATCAACATTCAAAAATATGTCACGCAATAACTGTCACGCGACTTGAAACATGCCAAATAAACCTCGGAAAGCATATTAATCTTTAAAAAGTATAGCCTCAGCATTAAATTAAATGCTTAAATTGTTATTGTTGTAAAACCAAGCAAAATCATTAGTTTTTACCTCAATTCGAGTTACTGTCGGAGTTACTGTCCGCCATGTTCGTGTACAGGATTAGTACACTGTCATGGCTTTCCCTACATTCCCTTGTAAAGTAAGACTGTATTCAAACACTTATATTTTTGCTAAAAGATTTGCATAACTGTTGGGAATTATATGCTGATTTTGGCCTTGGAATAAATAAAATATTCATTTCGATCTTTTGTAGGTACAGTATTTCTTGACTAAAACGTATTGAGCCGTGATAATCCCATACATTCGTACCAATTTTTTGATCGCTCGTATTTCTGTTAAAAAGAATTATTTTGGCTCAGAATTTCGTAGTGATCCTTTAATTTAGATGTTCTCTTGAGAACAATATAATAATATTCCGCTAATTGTGCTTTTAAATACTAGTATATTTTGTAGAAATTATATCACGTGATCAGTGAAAACCAAGAATTGCTGAACCAATCCAGAATGTCATTTGAGTTGCTTGCTGAATGCTTGATTGAGTCAAGGTGTAATATTTAATATTCTGATGGGTCTTCATTTTGTTATTTTCTTCCAGTTGTTAAATCTGAAAATGCCAAAAACACCAATCCTTTCACTCTTCCTTCTGATAATGATATATTCATGCTACGAGACAAAGAGAGACAAAAGAAAAAAGAACATCGTACACAACAAAGAAAACTAAAGGTACATGAGAAGACAACATACACTTCACAAGTAAATGCTAAAACAGCAGAAATGAGGAAAATTGGTCAGCCAAGTGATGATGAAGTTGAAGAGGAAGAGAAAAAGGATAAAGATGGTGCTATTGCTGTGAAAGATGATCCTCAGTTCACACTTGCAATAACAAGAGGTATGTAACAAACTATATTTACAATATAATTATGTAATTATGTCTTGATTATATCAAGTATAAACAGAACAATTTGCACTAAGGAGACAACATAGATATGACAAAATAAAATTATGTCCTTGCGCTGCTAAATCATTGATTAAAGTTAATGTGTTAATCACTATGAAATGTTTTTGAAAAATGCATTTAATATGATTTCAAATGGAAATCCAGTCGATAAATAATTTTTTCATTCTATTTTCAAAGTCAAAAATCTAATTTTATTTTTAATCATTTGTTTGTCATAATTACCTTTCCTTTTGCTCAGTGAGATGATTCATTTACAAACTTTATTATAGAGCAATTTTATTTAATCCGTGAAATAATAATAAACTAAATAGTTTCTAATAATTAGTCACTATTTTGTACTTAAATAGATGATAGCACCCAAGCAAATCAACTTATAGTTCAATACTCAGGAGATATTAAATACACAAGAATCAAATTAAATCATTCATTCGCAAAAAGACGCATTAACAATCTTTATTTGTTTGCGCTGCTGCAAAATCAAGACACAAGACACATCTTAAGTTAAAATAACCGCACAATACGCGAGGGGATGCATTTAAAAGTGAGACATACTTGACAAGAACCAACAGCACCCTTTAAATTTATCCTTTGCATGAAGCTCTTGATAAACTGCAAGACGAGTTTACCGCTTGTATGGATAAGTTTGTGAGATACGTACCTTTTTGGCATGAGACTTTGGCTACAAAAACACTATTGCCAGCGACATTTGTAATGGTTATAAGTGTAGCTGGCTAGTTGAGCTCCAAGGACAACGTGTGCATAAAAGCACATTCATTTGCAATGCACGGCACACATAAAATAACTTTCAAATTCTTGTGTATTTAATGTCTCCTGAGTATTGAACTACATGTATATGTTGATTCGCTCAAGTGCTATCATCTATTTAAGTACAAAATAATCATTAAGAACTATTTAGTTTTTATTTCAAGGATTAAATAAAATTGCTCTAAGACTGTAATTAATAAAACGTAGACTGCAAATGCACAGGAATTTATATCAATGATTTGTGGTGCAATTGCAGTTTATAATCATAATTATGTCTAGTAGTTTATACCTAGAATGTTATATGTATGTTGTAGTTCAGGTTCAATATGATTTTGAACCAGTTCAATTTCTTCTGAACTGGTTCAGTTTATTTTGAGCCAGTCCAATATAACTCAATCCAGTACAAATCAGTTTAGGGTTAGGTTTAGGGTTAGGTTTTGGGTTAGGTTTTGGGTTAGGTTTAGGGTTAGGTTTAGGGTTAGGTTTAGGGTTGGGTTTAGGGTTGGGAATAGGCTTTAGCCAGCAGTTATATAAAAAATTTCTTCATTAATAAATTACAATTAAGATAAAAACAATTTGCAAACATTACTACCATCAAATCCTTGATGGTATAATTGGTAGTACTGTGGACTATGAAGCAAGAGTTCAGTGGTTCAAACCTTGATGAAGGTAATTGTTATTCATAAATTAAAAATATAGAAAATATCAATATTTCTGTGGGGTATAGGGTAAGATAAAGTAGGATATAGTAGAAGGTAGAAAATAAGATGATAGATAGAAAATGGGAGAGAATGAGATGGAATATAGTTCTTTTAGTTCTTTTAAGAATGCCAAAGCAAAATAAAATAGACCAGTACAAGAAGTCTTGTACTGGGAACAAATTAGATTAAACTGGTTCAAAAATATATTGAACCTGAACTACATGTACAACATGTATAATGATTCAAAATATTTAGCAATTCAAGAACAGAATGTACATGTATTACAAGTTACAAATATTGCGTCCGTTGTAAATAATCAATTCAAAATCAGTGAGATGCATAAACACTGAGAGGTTTTGGCTTTATGGACAACAAATTTAAAACAAATTCTAGGGTTCGATTTCAAGTTAGGGCAGTCAGGTTCAATCTGTTTATCTCAAAAGAGCTAGCATGCACTAAAAACATACCTTTTGCTTCCTACCTTTAACTCCCTAACAAATTATTGTACAGTGGCGAAACYCTGCATGAACGTAGCAATATAATAGGGAGGTTCTTTTCCAGAAATCGGTCAATAGATATTTGATACAAAGTAAAATGTGAATTTTTGATTTTGTATATGCTCTTTTTCTTTGAAAATTCTTGCTTCAAGTTAAGGACCACATGATGTTGTTTTTCCTCGATGAATTCCCACCAAAATTTGGTTATCGTTAGGCATTACTTCTAATATTATATTCCCTAAATACCGTATTTACTCGAATAGACGCCGCGGCGTTTATTTTATTTTTCACGAACCAGCTGCGGCGTTTATTCGAGGGCGGCGTCTATTYGAGGGTGGCGTTTATTAAAAAGACACTTTATTCAGTACTACATACCGTACTTTATATTGTATCTTTTTACTTACAAACAGTAACAAATATATGAATTTCGTGTTCATTTTGTCTATTCAATTTATGATTTTAACCAGAGTTAAACTTCTATTTCAACATCAATGTCCTCCTCATGGTCGGAATCTTACAGCTGCTGAGAGCAAAAGTGCAATCACTTTCGAAATAAAAAAATGTTCTAAAAGAAAATAAATTCCCATTGCTGGTATCATTATTTCCTCAAATTGACGCCATACCCAGATGCGGTGTGTATTCGGGGGGCGGCGTCTATTTGAGTAAATACGGTATTGCGGAAAAAATAGGCTTAATTTGTTTGAAATAGCTAAAAAAGCGTTTTCCTGGATTTCCCCATAGAACGCATAAACTAAATCCGATTTTCCAAAAATTTACTTCTTATGAATTTAAATCCCTTGTTAATCATGTAGTAAAATATTATTACGATCTGACCAACTTAAATTTCTTTTTGACCCGTTTCTTTCGTCCAGGTTGATGTTCTAAACAACTGTATCCAGATACCTTAAAGTGAGTTGTTTACAAAAATTTTCTATTTACCAGATCGCCATGTTGAGAAAGAGAATCTTGCTGATTTTATTGCTAAGAAAAGAGAGATGTTCCTAGTACAGGTATGTATTAATACATAAATCAGTCTGAAGAAGAAATAAATATAAAGGAAAGTTATAGTGCTTAGAAGGAGGTTATTCCAAGAGAAAGACCTTGGACAATAAATTTGAAAAAATTAATTTCCGATCTCGTTGGGATCCGGATCCACAGCCACCGAGGTCGTAAATTATTTCTATAGTATTAGTAATAAAGGAAGAAATGCAGCATTTCATTTAAATTAAAAAAATGTATACCTACAATATATTTTCTTATATGACCAGCATTGTGATATTTACCAGTAAAATTGCTGGTTGCCTTGCCATCTTATGATGTTTGCAAGGTCTTGAAAGTCATTTTGTATTTTGCACAGTACTCCTTGGGTGTGAAAAGAGATGAAATGAGAAAACTTGAAGAAATTGCACAGGTAAGGGTTATGTGTCCTTTCACATGTAGATATATAATTACAACAAAATGATAATTATAATAATATCAGCGAAGGGCACACATTGTAATCTAACAATTTTTATAATATTCCATGAGCATTGTACCATACAACCATGAAAATATTGGGTTAAAAATATATATGATACATAACCAAACAACTTTTGTCAGGTAACTGATGTAGTTCAGGTTCAATATATTTTTGAACCAGTTTAATCTAATTTGTTCCAGTACAAGACTTCTTGTAATGGTCTTTTTTTTGTCTTTTTTTTTTTGCTTTGGCATTCTTAAAAGAACTAAAAGAACTATATTCCATCTCATTCTCTCCCATTTTCTATCTATCATCTTATTTTCTACCTTCTACTATTTCCTACTTTATCTTCCTATACCCCACAGAAATATTGATATTTTCTATATTTTTAATTTATGAATAACACTTACCTTCATCAGGGTTTGAACCACTGAACTCTTGCTTCGTTAAAGTCCACAGTACTACCAATTATACCATCAAGGATTTTGTTGGTAGTAATGTTTGCAAATTGTTTTTATCTTAATATTGTAATTTATTAATGAAGAAAAGTTTTATATAATGCTGGCTCAACCCTATTCCCAACCCTAAACCTAACCCAAAACCTAAACCTAACCCTTAGCCCTAAACTGATTTGTACTGGATTGAGTTATATTGGCTCAAAATAAACTGAACCAGTTCAGAAGAAATTGATGAACTGGTTCAAAATCATATTGAACCTAGTGAACTACAACATAACCTTTGTTGCTGCTCAAATTATGAGTGTCAATGTTTCTCATTTTCATTTTGACTGAGCACTGCAACTTGTTTCACAACAAAAAGCAGGTTATGAAAAATGAGAAACGCTGAAACTTTTCTAATAACAAATGTTGCATGACAAGTTGAGTTTTGTGTATTTTCGCACGTTGTTGTAAGTAGGTCTCAGTGTATCATGTTAGTTTTAACAAAAGATTGCCTGTCTTCCATTAAGCCAAATGATTGCCATTCTTTTTATTGAATGAAAATTACCAACAACTGTACATATTGACTAGTCTGTAACCCTTGTTATGTAATTTTCTTTTCTTAAGGCTGAGGAGAAAAAGTTGGAATTAGCTGAACAGTATCTTGAGGAAGATGCTGCCATGTTTGATGAGTTCCTTAAAGAGAACGACAAGAATTCTGTGGAAGCCATAAAAATGTAAGTTACCATTTTTGGCCATTAATATCTGTCAATCCTGTAAAATGACAGGCCTGTATTTGTGCTTCGTCAGTGATGTGTATTTACGTGTATATCAATGAACTGACAATCAAAGTCTGAATGGAATTGTATCCTTCATGGAGTCACTCAATATTATAGTTAAGATTATTATTATCGATTATGCACATTTCTATGTTACTTCTCGTATGTGTTATCTAAATATTGAAATGTTATTTGAAATTATACCTGGCTGCTATAATGATGTAGAGTTCTGCAAATAATATTGGTATCAAAGACAATAAGTATTGTTGGTGATGATTGTTACTAGAAGTAATAATTCATGTTAATTTTTCATCATTTTCAGTGCCGAAGCAGAAACAAAACTTAAACTTGAGAAAGTAGCAGAAATAAAGAAGATAAATGCTCAGATGATGCTTATCAAAAGGTACATATTATTTTATCTTTTGTTTTGCCCCTTCTTTCTTTAATTTACAGTTGAGCTTTGAACAGCTGTTATAAAGAATAAAATAAAACAATCAAACATAAAACAAAAAAAGTAACAAAAACTACGACAATTTTGAATATTAAGCAAGGAAAACCTGGATTCCAGGAATCTTCAAAATGAAGAAGTCACAATGTAATGCCCAGTGCTGATTTTAGGCCAAGTTAATCATCCTGGAACCCAGGGTAAAACAGAAGATTTTGTACAAATCAATGCGATTCCCTTGAGGACACATTATATAATTATATATAAATGTACAGCATATATATGTTCTCTTATGTTAGATCATAAGTGTCATGGACTTATTGCTTTGTTATGTTCTTTATTGATCTCTATATAAATAGTAATGTGTACATCTGTTTACAATCATATATATTTGGGTATGACGTAATACTATATAATACACTGTTAGATTATTTTCAGATTACAACACCTTCCATATTCATTAGTGAGATTTTGTATTTGATTTCTTCTGATTAGTGAAATTTCCAAGAATGAGGATACCATGAAAGAATATGTTTTATATCAACAATTCCTTGATTCATTGACACCAAAGGTAATGAATGTTTTTAAAAGCGGAAAACTACTGATTAATTGATTTGGATAGAATGGCTACCACCTTCGTAAGGGGTCCTTATTCCTTTTAGCTGTGATTATTGCAGTTGCATTTGCATTTTGACATTCCTTTGTTGATCTGCATCATCCTATAGTAATAGTGGTTGTAAAGCAATGATGTTTCATTATTGCATTTATAGGAATGGAAAGACGAAAAGAACAAAATAAAAGAAGACAAAAGGGTATAAGTTATGGAGTTTATTTCTTGATGCTATTAAGACAATAAAAACAATAATATTCATTTTGCTTGAACTTTTATGAATTGTTTAGAAATCAAAGCAGAAAAACAAAACAGTGACTGTCAAAAAGAAAGGTAAATACTGCAACATTTTACCTACCAATGGAGATAAATCTGTGTGTAAAAATGGTGGAACTAGAGATAAACTAGCCAATGAGCTTGCATCTCAGTGTTTCTAAAGAAACAGGTGTACAAAAAGATAAATTTTAACAACACTGTAAAATAGTTACTTGACCAATTGACTAGAAGTATGGTACATGTTAAAAATTATCTTTGTGCAAAACTGTATATCTGTTCAAGAGCAAAGATTGAGAAATTTCAAACGTAACTAATTACCAATGTTATTTGTGCTGTTTCAGGTTCATTAGTACTTTCTGATAGAACATCAAGTCGTGCTAGTAGAAAAGAAAGCAGATTAGGGATAGCGCAGGTAAATAAATGRTGAAACGTTTGCATACAACTATCGCATGCAACATTTGTAAGTCATCCTTATTACAACATGGCTACAACTGTTGTAGGGTTATCAAACAATAAGTTACGACTCTGAATTGTAGGTCAATCAGGTAATCAGTCATTTTGCCGTCAAAACTGCAAAGTTATCCAGACAACAAAATCACACAGTTAGCCATTAGGCCAACACTTTTCCGTCTATGTACATAAGTTAAACAAACACTTTTTGGTCTAAGTCAAACTGTTAGCTAGGCACTTTGACGTCTAAATTGACCAAAAACCAGACACTTTTCCGTCTAAGTCAAACAGATGGCCAGACAAGTCATCTTATTAAGTCAGTTAGGTAGACACTTTTCAACGTCTGAGTCAATTAGTAAGACAGAGTTGACGCAAGCATCGCTGCATGTATAGATCACCTTGCGATGAACCTTTCCATCAGTGAGACAGGACAATAAGCAGATCCAGTATGGGCTATAGGAGTCATACTACCCTTTCTGTATTGGTCATTCTTTCGCTTTCCTAGCATGATGTCCAGGTGGGTGTCGTGGAATTGCATATCCACCACCCGAATACCAGACAGATCGCTCCAACGGAGAAAAACCTGCAAAATCAACTAAGATGATGACGACGATCTKCAGATCTGCCGAACTGGTTCCAAAATACCCGAACTGATCCACAATAGCCCGAACATGGCCCACCTTGAGATTCTCCTTCTTGACTGGTGGACGCCCCGACAGCCTTTTAGCTGCCTCACACACCTGAGGGACCCATGGGTGTTGACAAGGGTCAGGTTCCAATGCCTTCCGGTGGGCCCATGATATACCATAAATAGCAGATAGGACTGTTGCTGGAGAACTGCACTGACTCATAAGCTCGCTTRAATACAGCGCCACGTGAGCCCCATTAGCGGGTAATGCACACACACCATACATTTCAGCCCAGCCCTGCCGTCTCTTAAAGCTCCTGTGATACTTATGTACAGTGGATGGGGCTCTATCAAGTATCAATACACTGGGCAGTTTCTTGGCAAGAGCTGCCAGGTGTGGTTCCCTATATGACAGCTGAATAGACCTGGAAAAGAAACAACAATAAAGGCAGTGAGAACGAAAAGAAGCATAACATGTTATATAAATTAGAAATAGTAATAACTTCCCTTGATCCGGTCCTTTGGCAAACGACTCCAGTCTCAGTATTGCACTTGAGGCACCCTAACTGGCTTTCCAACTGCTGGTTTCCTCTAACAGGTTGAAGCATCCTGGCACATAAGGTTCCATGACCAACGTGGGAGAGCTTATAACACTTCACTTCCTGGGCACAGCCACTTGGAACAAAAACAGAGAAGCTGATTAGAATTCACACTTGCGAATCTATCCACAGTATGAGGTCCCCATATATCATCTAGCATTCTGAAGTAAACTGGGTTGAGCATCCAATCGTCAGTCTCGATAACACGTGACCAATAGTCTGCTCTTTTATTCAGGTGTCTTGGGACCCATTCGGGGTAGAGTCGAATTCCATGGTGTCGACAAATAGCATAGTTGCTTCGTGCTGAAGGTGCTTCTTATTACTCCCGCTGCATAATATTGCCACTGTCCCCTGATTATCTGACCGGTGCTTGCACTCCTTGACGGAAAGATATGGAGCAAAAGACTCCAGAACCAGCCTTACCGCCTTAAGCTCTCTATAGGTAGAGCTTTGCCTTCTGTCTTCCTCCACCCAGTCTCCACGTGCTACCAATTGTCCAAGTTGAACTGTRTAACCACCCCAACCAGTACTGCTGGCATCAGAGTAGGATATAACATCTATACAAGGGGATGAATGCCACATTGGCTGACACACAAGGTCAGAGAAGTTGTTGATCCAAAACTGGACTTCATTTAGTGAATCTTCTGACAAGCAGACTTTACAACTCAGAAAAGGGCAAACTATTCTGTGATGCATAGAGGCTCCTTGTGAGTAGTCTTGCTACCGGCCCTAGTKCTAGTCCCATAGAAATAATTTATTCTTCTTCTTGGGTACAACTCCCAAGGGGCTACAAACAACTATATTATCCTCGTTTTCTTCCTCGATTGAGCCTACTTTTATCAAATTTTATTACAAAATCAGAATGTTGTGTAGCACTACAATGGTTAGAAAATCTCGCCTTCCTAGGCTCCCTAGTTAGCAGCAAAAAATAGCCATCATTGATAACTCTCAATATCATAGACGAAGCGCCAATAGTGCGCCAGAATTCAATGTTCTGCTTCAGGCGGCCTCTTATATTCATTTCTAAGTCGGTTTCTTCATCAAATACAAGACCACTAATTTCATCATCATGCAAATCATAGTAATTACAGAAGTTGTTAAACTCACCATTGTCATCTAGTCATGATTTTGAATTATTGTCAATTGAGGCCACACAGTCACGAGAAAAGTGACCAATCTTCCCACACCGATAGCAATGAGGCTGYGAGTACCTTTTGTCTGACGATGGGACAACTACCCTACCAGATGTATCCGAAGACGTAGGAGGCATCGGTCCCAAACGATTGGGGTTGAGCGGCGAGTTGGCATTTCCAAAAACTCTGGCACAAGCTACCCGTCTCGACTTGGCCTCTCTCTCCCTCTTCGATTTCTCCCTCAATTTCTCTGCGTCTTTAACGGCCCTACGTAGCTTCTTATCATCGGCATCGTCCTTTGCCAAAGGATCGGTCACTTAATTGTTTACCGTGTCCCAGCCATGCTTATCGGCTATCTTAATAAGCTTGTTGCGATCTGCGATCAGACACAAACCTTTTTCAGAGATTGACCTTGCTTCCAGTAAGGTATTCGATACAGCGATCTCCTCCAACTGCTCCTCAACTGATTCATTAAATTCATATTGCTTCTTGTTGCCCTTCTTTTTCCAGTCATTCTCCTTGCCATCGCTGCGTTTTCTCTTTAGTGACCTAATTTCGGAACGGAGTTCTGAAATTGCTTCCCACTGGTTGTCAATCAATGACCTTGCCCACATCGGCATTTCCACGTCTCCCGCCAAATTTTCACCACGATTCAGATTCTGACCCCGATTGTTAGAGTCTCTGGCTCCCCACGATCTCCATCTTGGTCGTCGAAATCACTGTGTGCTTGGAAGAAAGGGCATCCGAGTTCAACTCTGGGTCGAAGACCTCTCGAAATTCGTCGAAAACCTCTTCGATGCCCTGTCCTCCTCGGTTACTTCTGCTATTGCCGTGGTGACGATTTGTTGATCGATTGTCACGATTCGAAGGACGAGAGTTTCTTGAGTATCTGCGGTTTTTCGATTCTCCTCATGTCGCCTAGTCTGACTTCTCGTTCGGTAATAAGACATTATTTCACAAAATGAAGGTATTAAACACGAACTTAGACCACAATCGTCTAACTAAAATCGCTTCATCCTTATATACACAGCTCCTATTTACATAATGTCACGTGCAMACTAGTGCCCAGTCCTTACGTCGCCAAGGAAATTATTTCTCTCTCCACTCACACTCACTATGTTCGTAACCGTTACAAGAGAAATACATATCTCTAGGTCAACAGGAAGTTGACAGTACACACGTTGAAGGTCCAATTTGAAGATTAAACATCCCTGACCTTTGATTCTAATGAAGTCACAAAGTCTAACAATTCTTGGCAARCATAATTTGAAAGGATTGCTTAAGTAATATCCGGTTGGAATCCAGCTATTGATGGAATGTCCAGGAGGGAAACCTAAATCCATGACAAAACATCGCTTGGTTGAACCGCGCTTCGGAACTGTTTGAAGGGGAGAACAGATCAAATCATGATTCAAAGRATTGGAGTTGAAAGGACCTGCCAGAGCGTTATAGGAGAGTTCGGTGTCGATGTAATGSTGTACATGTGAACCATGCATCAGAGCGGAAGTATGATTGACAGTCGAAGTCAATTGTGAAGAGAAACAAAGGTTTATAGACCAACCAAAGCATAAAAATTCCGCGACGATCTGATTATGATAATCATGAAGATGCATGGTCCATTTGCTAATATTCAAGTTCGTGATCAGAGGAATTTGGGCACCAAACAGTAACAATAATAATTGACTCAATTAGTCAATTAGTGTTACTTGACATACCTGGAATGTGATCATGCGGCCAGTAGATTTGCCTCTTTTCCGTGCCGTAGTTGAAGCGGACTGAGGATTCGCCTCGAGACTTTCATGAACTTCGTTTTGATGTTGCAGCTGTCTTGTTTGTAGAATTTTTAGTTCAAGTTCCAGTCTCTCCTTTTCTAAACAGGCCAAGGTTAATTGCTTGTCCATTTGATCTGGTGTGGGTGATGCGTCCGATGGCGAGGAAACAGGCGATCTTCTCAGCTTGTGAGGTAGAGTTGGAGTTTGCCTATCAGTTTCTTACTGAGTTGAGCTTAGACCAAGTGTATTGAAATGCCGTCCAGATCGTAAGGAAAATCGTCATCTCGTTGAGCCTTAGTTGATCTGGAGGAGCGGCGTGGTGGGTCTGCTCTGGCCATGATGTTTTGAGAGTGATCGGTTCTTCTGGCAGTAGTGTGCTTGGTAGCGAGATTTGCCTTTCTGATGTAGAAAAAGATGTTCAATAGACGATGCTAACTAGCTAATACTCTCTAATCAACAGTAACAATAATGACGCATATCCGTCACACGCTGTTTTAGGTTATAGGAACCCTAACCCTTGTATAACTAAATGTGGCTTTTTTCGCTTTTTTAAAAGAAATCACGAGAAATAACTAGCAAACATGATTATTTAGACCAGAAACAAATGATTGAAGGTGTTTTTTTCCATTTTGCGAAAKTTTCAAAAATACCTTAAATCGTCACTTACGCTGTTCTCGCATACGGCCCTTTGATGTGACCTTTTCGCACACAACTACTTTTTTTCAATTAGGTGTACATTGCACATTCTGACAACMCTCCAGTATCAATAAAAAAATAAAAGGAGTGAATATTTTTACTGAGAACATTTATTTTGATTCTAATATTGTAAGAAAATTATATCATGATATAAATGGCAACTAATTCATGTAATACTGATCTGTTTTTAGAAAGGTGCAAGTCCTCCTCAAGGAGCAAGAAGGTAAAAATATGAATCATCAGTGGAGAACATAATGTCCTAATAAAACAATCTTGACATTTTGTGTATCGATGAATATTCATGCAATATTTTTCTATTCTGCACTCAGGCAAAAAAGTGATATCGATGGTGAAAGTCAGACATCATCTGCACAAGAGACTGATGATGAAGATAGCGAAGAGGTAACATGAAAAAAGTAATCCTACCTACATTAGAACTTGCTTAAACTATTTAAATATGGATCTATAGGAACCAGAGCTGTTTTTTACTGATCCTCAACAACTGCTTGATATTTTCTCTGAGCTGGAAGAACAAAACCTGTCCCTGATCCAAAACAGTCAAGAGACAGAAGAGGCTTTAGAAGAATTGAAACAAACTATAAAACAAACTCAAGACAGAATGTAGGTCTCACATCTTTTTTGCTCGTTACGATTGCATGACGTGTTTAAATGACTACATCTCCATATCTACATATTATAATACAGAACACCCTTCACCTCAAAACCTCTTCACAGGGGATTATATGGGAATGCCAGGATGGATTGGAATACATGGGAATGCCGGGATGGATTGGAATACATGGGAATGCCGGGATGGATTGGAATACATGGGAATGCCTCAGTAGTCACACACAAATTTGCAAATCTGTTATTGTGAAACATGTTATGCAGGGTAATACATGGGAATGAATGGGAATACAGGGGGATTCATTAGAATACATGGAAATGAAGGGGAATGAATGGAAATCTATATTTACCTTCTTTTCACCTGAGTGTATACTACAAGCTATCACTGTGCCGGCCTATTCCATGTGATACCTATTTCAAAATAGGAGGTTGTTGGGTAAAATGACAAAGGAGGCAATTGTTGAATGGAGATTGCATGACCTAATAGAGTCATGAGTTGTTCTAGTAACTTATAATGTAAGCAATATAGTCTGTGATAACAATTGGCTCCAATATAGTAGTCTCCATTTCATGTAAGATGAACCCAACAAGTGAAATTATATTTCAAACAGCATGACCATATAGTCCCTGTCATATAGTATCCCTTTGACAGTGGCTGTTCGCTGTTCTCCCTACATTTTTATTTTATAATTAGGTGTTTGTTAAATGGCATGACAATGTAACTCTTACTTTGACTTCAGGAATCATGAAACAGAGATCCTAAAAGGGCAAATTGACTTCCTGAAGGATGCAATCAAAAGAGAAGAAGAAAGAGCTGCTGAGTTGGAAATGAAATCAAAGTATGTTTAAATTGCAATTACCTTTTTGACTGTTAAATATACAAGGCCGAATGCAAGGCCCACTTGCAATCAAGAATGTGCTTTTTTTCACATTCACCTTTTTTATATTTTGAACCAATTAGAGCACCTTTCCTACAAGATCTTTATCTAAAAAAAAAAAGAAATAATTGCAAAGGCTCTTGGATGCACGTGAGACTTTAAGTGTGATTTGAAAAAATAAAGTTAAAACTTGATGCACATTAAACGATACCTGAAGACCCAGACTCTGTGTTGTACAATATTGCATACTGATGGTGCATGGGAATTTTTAAACTGAATTCAAAGAACTCATTTGTCTCCAACAAGAGCCTTCGTTTGGAGCCTTTCCATTGGGAAACTGAGAAGGGTATATGAGAATGATCAAAAGTATTCAATCAACATTTTAATTCTTCCAAGTTGGACAGCTCAGGATCTTCTTTATACAACAGTTTCTCACAAATGATTTTGTTGCATTGTAATTTTAATTTGTCGATTAATCTGGTGTGAATTATGTACCACTTTCAAAAGTGCCTAGAGCAGAGTCACATGAACCATGAAATAAGAACTAAAAAGTACTAACTAATAGGGACTATTAGTTCCTAATAGTCGTTAGCACTGAACCAGAACAGTTTATTTGATCCAATAAGCAATACCCAAGAGACCACTTTAACAATCAAAGTAATCTCTTTGTACTGTTCTGGTTCAGTGATAGTGTCTAAATAGTGCCTATTAGTAACTAAGTATTTAGTTTTTATTTCATGGTTCAAGTGACTCTGCTCTACCATCGATTTTATACAATTTATAATATTATGGAAGCATTCAACACTGTCATATGGAAGACCTATTAGAAATAGGTATTCATGGAAAGTTTTAAAGTCATGGACTGAATACTAACAAAGTTATCGAGGAATATAAATACAGGGATTTGTATGGAATTCTTTGCTAGTGACTGGGTAGCCTTGTTTTGGTGTTTTCGTACCACTTCTAACCCTTATAACTTCAAAAGGATTTAATATTTTTTTTGAAACTTTCAGAGTTTATCTTTGGCTTTGATATCTACCATTTGAGTGTTTTCATTTGTCAACATTATTGATAGAGCGATAATATGCTAATTAGTGTCAGCCATTATGAGAGTCGTGAATAGGTTTATTACATTGTAACTAAATTATGTTAAAGGTGTTCTTAAAACTGTTATCATCATGACTAAAATAATATTGCCTTTTTAGGATGTTCTCATATGGAGAATTCAAAGCAGAGGATCAGGTAATATATAATTTAGCAAGTAGATTCCATTTTTCCATGTGTAATGCACTCTGCTAATAGATTACACAGATGACTTCAAATTGTAATGCCACAAAATCATTACAAGTGGGCATTGTAAAGGGATTTGCACATGATCAGATTGAACCCCTCTCATCTCATATTTGCATTTACCCAAGAAATAAGCCTAAGAAATTGTCATTCATAACCATTACTTTAGTTACTAGTTTGCTTTTACCTTTTGAATSAAAAACAACTCTTTAAATATAGTATCAATTATGAACAATCTGAACAATTATGTCTAGCTCCAAGGTCATCATACACCACATGTTAAATAAACTGATTGTAATTGCATATGAAATGCATGGATCATGGACATCAARCAGCAGAAAAGCACTTTAAAATCAAAGAAAGCTGTGTTAGCAGGTGGCAATCAAAAAGAGAAAAGTTTATTTTCTGCCTTTTTTTCCTCAAAAACGTTYCTAAAACTCGGGGTGCAGCTTATCTACAAGAGCGGCTTATACATGAGTAAATATGGTAAACATCCAATAGGAGACATCTCACCACATAAACTCACATCACAGAAACACTATTTTCTTTTCTTTAGGAAAAAATGCTGGCAGCACTGAACAAAAAGGTTGAAGAAGTTTATAGAAATTGTATTGGTGACAATGAAGCTAATATCAGGTGTGAGAACTGCAGATGACATCCTCTGGAACCCAGGGGGTATCTTCTGTCATTCGTTCCTCACTCCCAGGAAAGTGAGGAACGACAGAAGATTACCCCTGGGTTCCTGAGGATCTGCAGATGACAATTTTAGCAGATTGACTGCATCCATGTGGGTGGTTCACTTGTTTAAAGAGTGGACATAAAGTTATCTGTTCCTTAAATTCAGAATTCTGCCTCGTCATCATGCACTGCGAAGTCACGTGARAAAGCACTAGCCGCCCGAGAGATCAGTGCATTTCCCGCCTTTGCTCGAGACGGTCGTGAAAATATAGAACCTTGTTTTTACATTCAGAAAAACTACTWAATTCAACGGCTATTGCCAAACAATTCAACTAAAAAGRGGAGACTCTCCTCTGAAACCTTAWCAACATGACAAACACGAATAATCCAGAGGAACTTSAAGTGCTTGACTYAAGCAAACATGGCGAATCKCCAATGGCGGCATCTTCGGGAAATCCCGATGCTATCGTCGCTGCAATTYCTCTTATGACAAGGCAATTGGTGTCTTCCATTACGACATTAAACTCATCTATGGATCACTCGTTTGGTGAGATGAAAGAGACTCTAGGAAACCTTGTTTACGAAGGAGAAGAAAAAGACGAAGGCTCTGTCAACTCCGACTCGGAGAAAGAGCATGACAAGGCGCCAAACAAAGACAGCGCCACTACAACGGACAAAGCCCGGCAACCGGCGTCCGATAATACTGCTAACAGCAGTCAAAAGTCATTGGAAAATCACAATGACAAGYCTAAATGCCAGGAATCTTCTTCGAAAGAAGAAAACACAACTCTCGCAGGAATTGCGAGCAGTCTTAAGTTAGGGCATAAAAAAGCCCCGGCTGTCAACGAACAGTTCGCGGGCATCCTCAAAGAGGTGATGAGAGTAAAGCTGGACGATGACGTCCTGCTCGACACAAAAAACCGATACACAAGGCCTGAGAACTGCCAATGCTTGGAACCTACACAGGTTAATCATCTTATATGGGACAAGTTAAAACACGAAACAAGATCAGCCGACTTGAAATTACAGCGCATTCAGGCCAACTTACTAAAGGGAATWATTCCAATTGTCTCAATAGTTGAGAAACTGGTCAAAGTCCAGGATAAAATACCCGTTGAGGTACTAGATGTTGAAGCTCTCCTGAAAACCGCTACTGACTCAGTAGCCATGCTTGGGGCTGCAAATTTTGGGCTCAACATGCAACGGAGAGACAACATAAAACCAGAGCTCAATGCTGACTACAAGCACTTATGCTCGCCTACTGTACCGTTTACTGAATTCCTTTTTGGGGATGATCCTGACCTATCGAAACAGCTAAAGGATCTGGCAGAGGCGACTAAAGTCAGCAAGAAGATAAGTAAGAATCATGAACCAAAGCAGGACTACAAAGGACAGAACTACAACAAGTCCTACAAACATTCCAAAGGCAAACGATTCGGTTACAAGTATTCACATAACCATCATTTAAACTCAAGAAGGCCCAGCTTCTCAGCCAACAAACAGAAGGAGGAGGGGAAGAAGCACAAATAGGGCCAGAAGACCCCTCAACGTCTAATACTAATCAGGTACAAACTACATTTAAAGCAGGCAGGTTGAAAGAGTTTGTKTCTGCATGGCATAATATAACCTCTGACCCAGAGGTGCTTGATTGGGTGCAACACTGTCATATTGAATTTRTTGATGACAGGGCACCTACCCAACTTGGGGGCCATAAGGTATCCAGATTTAATCAATCTGAATTGACCATCATTGATGGGGAAATTACTAAACTCCTCTACAAAGGGGTTATACAAGAGTGTTCCCATTCAGAAGGGGAATTTTTGTCTCCAATATTTCTGAGACTTAAAAAGAACAAAATTGACTATCGAATGATCTTAAACCTGAAAGATCTAAATAAGTCCATTGTYTACAAACATTTTAAAATGGAATCATTGAARTCAGTTTTAGACCTTATGACCCCTGGGTGTTTCATGGCATCTGCAGACATCAAAGATGCCTACTATACTGTGCCAGTTGCCAAAGAGCACCAAAAATATCTGAGGTTTATGTGGAGAGACAAACTCTATYAATATGTATGCCTCCCAAATGGTTTAAGTTCAGCTMCTAGGATGTTTACCAAGCTGCTTAAACCTGTTTTTAAACTGCTTAGAGAAAAAGGGTTTTTGTCATCATCTTACATTGATGATGTCTATCTCCAAAGAGATACATTTGAAGAATGTCATGAGAATGCTAGAAATACAGTAAAACTTCTCAGGGATCTTGGGTTTGWAATACAAGAAGAAAAGTCTTGTCTTAAACCCTCTCAACAGCTCACATATTTAGGATTTTATTTAGACTCACAGACAATGACTGTGAAACKTACTAATGAAAGAGTGGAAAAAGTAGTACAAGCATGTGAGAAACTCCTTAGCAAACCTCAGTGCAGCATACAAAACCTAGCTGAGGTAATAGGGCTCATGGTCTCCAGCTTCCCTGGTGTTGAACATGGGCCACTGTACTACCGTAGCCTAGATCATGACAAAACAGAGGCTCTTAAGCAGAATAAAGGGAATTTCTTTGCAGTAATTTCCCTTACTGAAACTTCTAGGACAGAATTGCAGYGGTGGGTTGCAAACCTTCCMAAAGCTTGTAMGGTGATCTCCCATGGTGAACCTTAYATWWCCATGCAAACTGATGCTTCCTCTAAAGGCTGKGGAGGGGTGCTAGGTGACCAGAGAGCRGGRGGAAGATKGACCCCTGAAGAAGCATTGCACCACATTAACTATTTGGAATTATTGGCAATACTTCTATCTCTGAAAGCCTTGTRTAAYTCATACACAAATACACACATTCAAGTRCAGTGTGATAATACCACAGCAGTCTGTTATGTAAATAACATGGGCGGATGTCGCTCTATACCATGCAACTCAGTAACTAAACAAATTTGGAAC